CTCCGTGTTCCCTCGGGGCCGGAGCCGGGGCGGGGCGGGGCGCAGGCCCGGGGGATGCTGGGCTCGGTGAAGATGGAGGCCCATGACCTGGCCGAGTGGAGCTACTTCCCGGAGACGGGCGAGGTGTGTCCTCAGGGATGGCGGAGCGGGAGCGGGGAGCAAGCATGAGGGTGTGGGCTTCAATGGACCCAGGGACCATAGTGTGCGCTCAAATGGTGGCCAAGGCATCTAACTGGGGAGCCCAGGGACCCGGGACGCGGAGACCAGGTGTGGGAGTGAGGGACAGGAGACAAGGCTCCGGAGTGCGGCTTAGGCAAGCTAGTGGGGGCGATGACTAACATGGGTGGAAAACTTAAGTAAGGGTCAAGTCACACCTTAAATGTAAGAGCTGGATGTTGGGGCTCCGAAATCGTAAAGATTAAAATGAACAAACCAAAGTTAGGAAATCAGAGAGCTCCGGGGTAGGGAACAGCTGGAGGATTTCAGGAAATGGGGTTCAAAGTGAATGGGAAAAAATAGAAACTAAGTGATGGAGAAGGGGGTCCCCATTATAGGAATTCTGGGGTAGACATCAGGATCAGAATACAGAGTTAATTTAAAGGTGGGGTTGTGGGGTGGAAACTAGAATCGGGGTTCAGAAAGAAGGGTCAGCTGTCAATCTAAGATTGGGTCTGAAATAGGGGCTGGTGGAGCTCAGGGGTAAGAGTTGGAGGTTCTCAAAGATAAACCTTCCTTTGGGATACCTGAAATAACAGGTGGCCTGGATAGACAGGCATCCCACGCATCAGCACTGGCGACCTGAACGTAGGAGATGTGACCATCAGCATCTGCGGTGCTGTTTTCTGCCCCCCATCCCTACCCATGACCCTCAGCGAGACTCCCCAGTTCAGGCTGGAGAAGTCGAGATCGTGTGCCTCCTTTCTCCTGCATCCAGCAGCCTCCAGCCATTGCTGAAGGCATCGTCCAGTCCCATCTCAGACAAGGCTTCCTGGAGTAGGTGACAGGGCCACATCCTAACATCCTCCCCCTAGCAGACAGAAAGTCCTTCGCCAAATCTAACCCCAATTCCTCTTGCTGCAAGAACTCTTGCTTGGCTCATTTGCTCAATAATCAAAATTGTGAGGCAAGGGAGGTGGGCATGGGGGGTCTGGACCTTTTGATTCCTAAGCGGGAAGGAGACTGTGTGCTTGAGGTGGAGGTAGAGGGCTGCAATGGCTGGGCTTTCCAAGGAGTCAAGATCTGGTGCTCACCTAGGGCATGAAACTGTCGGGTGAGTCTCCTGGATCCCCAGGCTTTTGGGGCTTGGCCAGGTGCCCAGGAGGGGCCAGTCCTGGGTCTGGGGAGGTGTGAGGTGCACGTTGGGCCGGGAAGGGCCAACTGGGGAAGGAATTGGGATCTTGGAGAGATGAAGGTAGGGCGGCTGGAGGTTCACGTATACCTGGTAGGGTGGTAGAGACCTGGGAGCAGGTGGAGGCACCCAGCTACTGGCGAGATCAGAATCTGAGCACAGGATTGAAGGGGACCAACTACCAATCATTGTTTGTTTCCAGTGGGTGTAGGCAGAAGTCAATGTTTTGGGGCACAGTCTTGATGGATCAGAGTTTAGGGGACAATTTGTGTGGAAAGTGGGCCAGCAACGGAGAGATTTGGAAGAATCAACATATGGAGGTCAGGGAATGTTTGGGGGCCACTCCTTACTGTCTGAGGATCTGCTGAGCCTTTCCACTTCTTCCTGAGCCCACTTCTTCCTCTCAGGTCAGAACAGTGGGGAGAGAAATACATGCCCTCACCCCAGACTGAGAAATGACAAGGGTCACTAAGCCATTTCTCACCACAGCACCCTCCTACTGGGGTGATGCCTACACCTTGCTGCTAGAACTTCTCACCCTGGGGTGTCCCCACAGGGCCCAGGTCCTTACACTGGCCCAATTGCTTCCCCATTTTATTTATTTTTAATTTAAATTTTATTTTATTTTATTTTTTGAGACTGGGTCTCGTTATATAGTTTGGGCTGGGCTTGAACTCACTTTGTAGCCCAGGCTGGCCTCAAACTTTCTGTGATCCTCCTGCCTCAGCCTCCCAAGTGCTGGCTCTGCTCCCCCATTTGAAAGTGGGAAATCTGAAGACCCACAGAGTTTTCTGGGGTCCTAGGTTGTGCATTGGACTGGAAACCAGACTTCTGGCTTCTCACTGCCTCCCTCTGCTCTCCGCCACGCCCTTCTTCCTTCTTCAGAGACAATAAGGAAATGAAAGGGGAGAAAATCCAACCTCCTGGGTGGGGGTGTGGGTCCTATGAGGGCTTCCCCCCAATCTCAGCTCCACCCTGTGGGGGGAGATCCTGTTCAACCCGGACGCTGGGGGTTCATCCTAGCCACGGGGCATGGGAAAGCCTAAAGTGGATTAGTGTAGCTGGAAGGTTTGAGGTCAGACCTCAAAGAGAACTTCCAGGTGGGTGGGGAGCCAGAAAAGGAGGGCCCTGGGGTCCCGGAGAGCTGTACGGGGTTGGAGATGTGGGGTGGGATGCAGGGGGACTTAGGACCCTTTATAAAACTCCTCAATCTATCACCTTCCCTAATCTCTTTCCTTATTCTGGGGAGGGGCAGAAGCACCCAACTGGAGGAGGGGAGGAGCCATCCCTGCCAGTCAGTGTGGGGCTTCTGAGGAGGTGGTGATAAGGGAGGGGAGAAAACACAGAGATGCGCTGCAGGACAGAGGGCTGGGGTAGGGACAGGTGAGCGTGCAAAGGGGCAGATGGATGGAGGGGAGGCAGGGGCTGGGGAGACGGGGCAGAACTGGGGTGTAGAGGGAGGCGGAGAGAGTGGGAGAGTAGATTGAGGGTGAGGGAATAGGCCGGGGGTAGGGAGAGAGAAAGTAGGGAGAGGCAGATGGGGACCGGAAGGGAGACAGGGGTACTGAGACAGGATTCGGTGGACAGATGCGCACAGAGACGGAAATGGCCAACAGATCCCAAGCGACAAGTCCGAGAGTGGACTGGAGAGACACGTGAAGGAGCCAGAGGGTTCCCATTGGAACTCAGACTTGGGGTCCGTCCCGCCCCCCGCAGCCCCTTTTCTCTCTTGACTTTGAGACATGCAGATGCTTAGAGTGGTAGGGAACTAGATGGTATCCACTAGCCTACGGCCCAGGTGGCCTCAGCCAGAGCTCCAGCAGCCCCAGGACCAGGAGTCTGGATCCAGCTGGGGAGGGGGCTGCACATAGGGACAGATGGAGGGAGGACAGTGGGCGAGCCTGGTAGGAGCAGAGAGAAAGAGCCAACCACCCTGGAGCTGCTTTTATGTTTCTCTTGCTTATCTTGTTCATCATCTTCCTGCTACACTGTCCCCTCCTGAGGCTTCTTTTATGGTACAGGGGTGGGGTGGGGCTTTCTCTCTGAGCTACATCCCAGTCTTCTATGTTGAGATGGAGTCTTGTTAAATTGCTAAATTGTCCAGGCTAGACTCAAACTTGTGATCCTCCTGCCTAAGCCTTTTCACTGAACCCATGAGGACATTTCTGTCTGCCTTGGTCACTGCTTTTACGGCAAGATCCAGGACACAGGTTTGGAGTGAGCCTGCCTGAATTCAGAAACGCAGTTTTGCCTTTTCCTTCCTGCGTGATTTTTCTTGACAGACTTGGCCTCAGCTCATATAGTTGTAAAATGGACATCATACTAATGCCTCCCCCAGCCCTTACCCACCACCATCCCCATGGTTGTAAGGATTAAAAGAGACCTAATCTGGGCCGGGGAGTTAGCTCAGTGGTTTTGCCACCTGCCTCACAAGTGGAAGGTCCCTAGTTCAATCCCCAGTACAGAGAGAGAGAGAGAGAGGGAGATTTAATCTGTTAATCCTTCTTGGGAAGTGCTTGGGACAGTGCCTGGCACAGAGTAGGTGGCCCATAAATTGTGTTGAATGGATGAAAGTACATATAGAGGGTGATTTTGAGAGGGAAAACAATGCCTACCATCTTTCATTGAGCTACAGTGTATATTTTTTCCCTTTTTGAACATTTCTGAAAATGGAGCGCATTTTACAATCAATG